TTATATAAATTAATTATAAAATAATATTTTTATTGTACTTTTAACTTATATTTTAAGAATATAAATTAAACAAATATATTTATAAATATAATAAAACGGTCATCTATTTTTCAAAGGTGCATGTTCATTAGCAACTTACTGGTTAGAATAATATTAACATAGACTCATCTAAAATTTAGGTGACTAACTTTTATGTGTAAAATTCACCAAGAAATTGAAGTACAAAAACTATTTTTATTACTAATTGATGAACCTTATGGTAGTAAAATGTCGTCGATGACTCTTCTCGTCATCTAATGACAATGATGACATTAATGGCAATGAATTCTTTAAAGGAGCCCTAACAAATAGGAAAGTGGTTGTGATTTTAAACTAAATTTATACTTTCAATTCTTTCACCGTAGGAGTTAATAATTTACTACCTCTGTTACACTATATTAATCATTTTAAGTTTAGGTACAAGAATTAAGAAAATAATTACTTACCTTTAATTTTAGTGTTAAATAAAATAAAAGTGTCATCTTACCCTTTTTTTCACCCTCAATATTCTATTTGATATAAAACCCCATCTATCGTTATACTTTCTCCTTTTTTCTTTTTTTATTGTTAAATGGAAAATTTTAAAGTCACTAATAGTAAATTTGATGTATTGAGAATATAAGGCAAACTGAATAGTCATTTTGAAGAGTTTTAGAGATTCATAAGCCAAAAAGGAGTGCTATATATGAAACAAAGAAAAGTGGAGATCTTTGATTTTTTTAAATAACAAAGATTAGAGTCGTTAAGCTTTTATTGTAAGATAAAGTTAAAAGAAACAAAATTAAAGAGATTTTGGTTTACTCAAAATGACAAATAAATAGGAACAAAAATTTGTACCTAAAATGACTAAAATGGTGGAATAGGGGGAGTATATTTTTAAGATGTGTTTGATATTTCTATTAATCTAAACAACTGAAGAGCAATGAATGAGCAACTTAAAAAGTTAGGTGACCATTATGTTAGGGCTACCATTTAAGTGATAAAAATGTTGATTTTAGGAATTTTTGTTAATAATTTTGTTAGAATTATGAATTGGGTGCCTAAAATGTTGATTTTGCCAAAACCAACCATGAGATTACCCGATTTATGTAAGATTACGTAAGATTTTGATATAAACTAATTATTTTAACTAGGAATTCAAGTTTTTCAAGTGGATTGTACATTTAAAATACAATTCATTTTGTAAATTTATGCAAGATTATGTAAGATTTTGATATAAATTAAT